AACCAAACAACTCCTTGGAGGCAAGGATTCTGGGACTTCATCTGACATGCTTTGGGCATGTTGCAAGGAGGGACAGGTCCTTAAAGAGGGACATCATGCTTGGGAGGGTAGAGGGACGGCACAAGAGGGGAAGACCCTATATGAGATGGATTGATTTAGTGACTGGGGTTATCAGAATGGGTGTGTCAGAGGCAGTGGTGTCAGAGGCAGTGTGATTGGCACAGGATAGAGCAGTGTTTAGGGCTGTTGTACATAGGGTGGCTATGAGTTGCAAACGACTTGACGGCACATAACAACAACAACATTGTTGGTTATTGTTGGTTTTTGTTTACTGTAGAGTTGGAACTAATGCATAGCTGATCCTCCAGCAGATTTTCAGAGGCAATTAATTACACATGAAGAGATTCCCAATTCTTCTTCCATGAAGTAGCTGGGGCCTTGAAATGTGTGCCTTCTGTATTTCAGCACAGTGTGGTGCCACTAAGGCAACAGGGCACCGGGGGGTGCAGGGGGAGAGACAGACAGAGAGAGAGAGGAGAGGAGAGACATATTTTGCATAATTCTGTATAGTTTTGGGGTTTTTTTAGTAATTTTTTCATTTATTTTAAGTTTTCAGTGTTTTTTTCTTTGTATTCATTTCAGTGCAAATTTACAGACTTTGGATTTCCATTAATTCATTGTTGCACTTTCCTCCATACTCACCCCTAACCCCCACCCCACCCTGCAGTACACTCTTCTCTTTGAAAAGTAAAAGAAAAATTCTTTCATTGTTTTACAATCCTTCCTTCCAGGTCCACTCCACTATGAAGCCTTCATTCTGGACTCCTTCATGACAATAATATCTACTCACATATCCCTTTTAAACAGTTTTCTCCCTCATCTGTTTCAATGCAGTATACATTTTTTATCCCATCTTTCTCAGTCTTCCTCCAACCCCGATGTCAGTCCTGTCTTACAGTATTTGTCCTTTTGTGACTGAGATATTTCACTCAGCATAATGTCTTTCAGGGTCACCATTTTGAATAACATTTCATGAGTTTCTTGTTTTTCAATGCAGCATAGGTAGTATTCCATTGTGTGATTATATCACAGCTTCTCTATCCATTAATTTTTTGACGGGCAATTATGTTGTTTCCAACTCCTTGCTATTGTGAACCAAGCCACAATAAACATGGGTGCGCATATATCTGCTTGGGTGGCAGTTATGGTCTCCTTGGGGTATATTCCCAGCAGCAGAATTGCTGTGTCAAATGATATTTCTATTTGCAACTTTTTGAGAAAGCGCCACATTGCCTTCCACAGTGGTTGCACCATTTTACACTTCCACCAATACTGAATAAAGGTTCCAGTTTCTCCGCAACTTCGCCAGCATTTGTGGCTTGCTGTTCTGTTAAATTTTGCTATTCTTACAGGAGTGAGATGATAACTCATATTAGTTTTTATTTGCATCTCTCTGAGAGCTAAGGATTTTGAACATCTCTTCATGTGCTTGTTTGCCATCTGAATGTCTTCTTTGGTGAAATGTCTGTTCATATTCTGTGCCCATTTTTCAATTGGAATGTTTACCTTTATCTTGTTGGGGTGCTCAAGTATTTTATAAATTCTAGATGTAAGTCCTTTATCTGACATGTCATTACCAAATACTTTTTCCCAGTCTGTGGCTTCCCTTTTTAGCCTGCTGGAGAAGTTTTTGGATGTGCATAGAGATTTGATTCTTAGCCTGCTGGAGAAGTTTTTGGATGTGCATAGAGATTTGATTCTTAGACGGTCCCCTTAATCTATTTTATCTTCTCCTGGTTGTATAGTTTTCAGGGTGCTTAGAAGACTGTTTATGTTGTGGATTTGGAATTTTAGAATTCTTTCAAGCTTTTCTTTAATGAAGTTTATAGTCCTTGGTTTTAGTCCTAGGTCCATGATACACCTAGAGTTGGTTTTTGTGTGTGAAGTGAGGTGTGGATCTTGCTTGCGTCTTATGAAGATAGTTTCCAGTGTTGTCAATACCATTTGTTTAAAAAGGCTGTCATTTCCCCACTTAACTGATTTTATCTCCTTGTCAAAAATCAGTTGACCGTGTGCAGATGGGCTGATTTCTGGGTTCTCAATTCTTTTCCATTGAACTATGTGTCTGTCATTGCACTAGTACCATGTTGTCTTAACCACCATGGCAGTGTAGTTGTTGTTGTTGTTGTTGTTATGTGCCGTCGAGTCGCCTGCGACTCATAGCGACCCTATGTACAAC